TTTCTTCTTTTTTTTGTCTTGAACCTTGAAGGTCTTAAGTATCTTCTCTATGATCTCAACAATCAGCTTATGTAATTTGCTTAAGATGTCTCACAGTTATCAAATTATGCTTTGAATAGGAATGACTAATATGAATTGTTGTCAATCATAATGCAAATTCTAATGACACAACTTTAGGATTTTGGAAAGGGAGAATATGCGTGCATACCTTCATAGGACATACAAGTTTGTTTTCTTTCATTTTTACGTTACCATTTCTTTAGCATATATTTTAGTGCATATGATAGTTTTTTTTTAAGTGATTATGATTTATATTTTGTCTTAGTAATTGTTTGTTTGTGTGTGAGGGGGAGGGGGTTGATAGAAATATGGTTTGACCATTCCTATAACTAGCAGTTCATCATTTAAGATGGATGATTCCTCAGTTGCCAATTACTTCCTTACAATTTTTTGTTCATTTAACTATTGTGTCACAAAGTTAGTTATTCTCTATTGATTACAGTACATTAAGACATCGGTGGAGAGACCAACATGTCTAACTTTGGGAGGCTTGCAAGGCAGTAATCTACCAGTTATAAAGTAACCTTCAGACGAGATTTTTGTAACTGAAAATTATTTTACTTGATTTGAGGTATGATTGTATAAATTTTTTCCTTAACTTTTTCTCGCTTTTTTGTCTTGAACCGTGAAGTTTTTAAGTATCTTCCCAATAATCTCTCAACAATCAACTGTAGTACTTTGCTTAAGAGTTCTTACAGTTATCAAACTATATTTTGGATAGAAATGACTGATGTGGATTGTTGTCAATGATAATGCAAGTTCTACTGACTCAACTTTTGAGCTTCTAAAAGGGAGGACGTGTGCATACATTCGTAGGGCATACAAGTTCGTTTTCTTGCATTTCTACGTGACTTTCTTTTGTATATATTTTACTGCATATGATAGTTTCCATTTAAAATGTTATAATTTATATTTTTTCTTAGTAATTGTTTGTGGAGGGCGATAGAAATATGGTTTGGTCTTTCCTATAAATGGTCTATTGGTCATCATTTAAAGGTATATGACTCCTATGTTGTCAATTCTTTTTTTAGAATTTTTTTGTTTCTTAAAATTTTTATGCCATTTAACTATTGTGTAACAATTTTAGATATTCCCTAATGATTGCAGTACATTTAGACAATAGAGTAGAGGCTAACTTGTTGAACTTTGGGAGAGGCTTATAAGGCAGCAATCTAAGCAGTTATGAAATTACTCTTAGGCGAGCTTTTTACAGGTGATCGTTATTTTGCTTGATTTGAGGTATGATTCTGTAAACTTTTTTTGTACTTCTCTTCTCTTTTTTGTCTTGAAACTTAAACTAATTAAGTATCTTCCCTATGATCTCTCGACGATCAACTTAAGTACTTTGCTTAAGATTTGTTAAAGTTATCAAACTATACTTTAAATATAAATGATTAATCTTGATTGTTGTCAAATGATAATGCAAGTTACAGTGACAATTTTAGAGCTTTGGTAAGGAGGGATATGTGTGCATACCTTCATAGGGCATACAGGTTTGTTTTCTTGCTTGTCTACGTGACTATTTCCTTTACATATATTTTATTGCGTATGATTGTTTTTTTTTTAAAACTTGCGAGTTATAGTTTTCCTTAATAATTGTTTGTGGGGAGGGGGGAGGTATGTGACCTTTTGTTGCCAATTAGTTCCTTACAGTTTTTGTTCCGTCAAATTTTCATGTAGTACATTTAGACAGTGGAGCAGACACCAACTTGTTGAACTTTGGCAGGCTTACAAGGCAACAATCTATGTAGTGATTAAGTTACCTTTAGACGAGTTTTTTACAAGTGAACATTATTTTGTTTGATTTAAGGTTATGATTGTGTTAGCTTTTTCCTTTTATTTTTTGTCTTGAACCTTGAAGTTCTTAAGTATCTTTCCTATGATGTCAACGATCAACTTAAATCCATTGCTTAAGATTTCTAACAGTTATCAAAATATGCTTTGGATAGGGATAACTGATGTATATTGTTGTCAATTGTAATTCTAGTTCTTATGACAACTTTAGAGTTTTGGAAAAGGGAGAACATGTGTGCATACCTTTGTAGGGCATACAGATTTGTTTTTTTTCATGTCTACGTGACCATTTCTTTAGCATGTATTTTAGTGCATATAATAGTTTATATTTAAAATGATTATGATTTATATTTTTTCTTATTAATTGTTTGATTGTTTATGTGTGGGGGAGGGGTTTGATAGAAATATGGTTAGGCTTTTCCCATAACTAGTAGGTCATCATCTATAGTATATGACTCCTCTGTTACCAATTACTTCCTTATAATTTTTTGGTCTGTAAAATTTTTATGTCATTTAACTGTTGTGGCACGAGGTTAGATATTTCCTATTGATTGCAGTATATTAAGAGACCAACAGGTAGAACTTTGGGAGGTTTATAAGGCAGTAATCTACCAGCTACGAAGTTACTTTCAGGCAAACTTTTGTAAGTGAACATTATTTTGCTTGATTTGAGGTATGTTTGTGTAAGTTTTTTTCCTTCTATTTTTTGTCTTGAAATTTGGGAGGTTCATAAAATAGCAATACAAGTGGTTGCTTGTGGAAGGTGTAGATTTTTTTAGGTATTGTATGGTATTGATTTTGTTAGCGTTTTTTTTTCTCGTTTCGTAAAGTTCTTAATTATCATCCTCGATCTACATCCTTTACTTAAAATTTCTTGCAATTATGGACCTATAAAGATACTGATGTTTAAACCATGGTTATAACAATTCACTAAAACCTTAACGACTCATGATCTGGGTACATTGGTCCGAAACAAGGTGGGTTGGTGATCCATATCACCATAATGGACGACCCCAAATTATATTACTAACTCTAAATCAATTAGTTTTAGAACATGTAGTACAAATATAAAATATATATTAATTGATTACATTTATATAGATTTATAATTATTTATTTTTTTAGATAATAAAAAATCAAGCATAACTATAAGATAAATGGTAACTAAGTGTTTTTGAACATTCTGTAATATAAAATGTTATATAGCAGTGAAAACGATCTATATAAGAAGTCCAAAATGAATTGCGACCTAAAATATTGTACAAGTTAAACTTACCTCCATCGTACCGTGTACCTAAGAAAGTGTCGTACTATATACTCATACCTAGGTAACATTGGTTTAAACTTGATGGTCCTAAATCATGTTGCTTTGGATACGAATGAACTATGATAGATTTTGTTTGTGGTAATCCAGGTTCAAGTGATACAACTCTACACACACTTTTGAAGAGTTCACTGGTCAGCTTCTTGCATGTCTGCTTGACTATTTCTTTTGAATATCTTTGAGTAGATGTTCTAGTTTTCATTTTTAAATATTAATAATATGTTTTTATTAATAATTGTGGTGGTTGTTTGAAAATTTTCACTGGTAGTAAAAAATTTGATTTAATTATCGTATTCTAGATGATCTTTAAATTTACTAGTTATAAAAAAAGGACACACTAGTTTTCAGACTCTAATTGACTAGGGCACAAAAATTGACGTGTGTTAGTGACATCTTGCACCACGACACCCCATGAATTCAAAGTAATGCTATGTACCTAAGGTGTTCAACAAAATTCCAAGCGCTATGCCCTAGACTCTCGTTTTGTTTCATCGATTCAGAAGATGTCCAGTCAAGTCATTTTGGAAAACCTCCATAAAGCATATATAGGGGGTGGTGATAGTTGAGGGGCACCAATGGTTTGGCTAGCCTTGTCCCCCCCCCCCCCCCACAAAAAAAGCCTTGGCACCGTTGGGCAAAACATAAGTATGTCTGTATTTCTATGGTGTATTAGTGTATGGGTATGTTTATTAGTGTGTGAATAGAACGTATGTTTGGGGGTGTTTCTTTTTTGTATATTAGTGTGTATCTGTTAGTTTTTGTTTCTATATTAGTGTGTTTTATTGTGTTTAGTAGTTTGGTGCAGGAGTATGTGTTTTTTTGGCATACTAGTGTGTATTAACGCGGTGTATATGAATGTATATACTAATTATCTGGGATGTATGTATGTTTTTTAACGTATTAGTGTGTGTGTGTGTGTCCATTTGTGTTCATGTAATAGCGTGTGTTATTGTGTATTAGTGTCCGTGTTTGTGATGGATTAGCTTGTGTTAACACTACATGTGATAGAATATATACATTTTTGTGAATATGTGTGTTTAATTGTATTAATGTGTGTATTTTTGGGTGTATTAGTGTGTGTGTGTATTTTGGATGGTATATTAGTGGGTGTGTGTGTTGTGTAATAGTGTGATTGTGCGTTTTGGTATGTTGGTGTCGGTATTTTTTTACTGTATTAGTGTTTGTTAACATAGCGTGTGGGTGTGTGTGTATGTGTGTTGGTTTTAGTGATGGTGTGTGCATCCATGCATTTGTTTGTGTGCGTGCTTTTGGTGTGCTAGTGTGCATATTTTTTTGGTGTATTAGTGTGTTTAACAATGTATATTTTGGTGTATTAGTATGTTTGTTTATGTTTTAATGTACTAGTTTGCATGTTTTTGTGTAATACTGTTGTGTATATGTGTTTTTGTGTAAGAGTAGTTGTAATGGGAAAGACCAACTAACTTTAATTACTCTGTTGCCTATTACTTGGTTACAATATTTTATTTCTTAAATTTTTGTGCTATGACTCGATGCATAATGTTGCCTATTGAGTGTAGTATCTTAAAACAGTGAAGGAAAGGTCAACCTATTGAAATTTGGCAGGCTCATAAAGCAGCAATCTATGCAATTATAGATTTATTTTCAAGTGAGCATGGGACATGACAGGTATAGATTTTTGCTTGAGTTTTGACGATTCTGAATCTAAAATCCACCAAAAAAACCAAGAAAAATTTGTTAAGAGAAATGGAGAAATAATGTGTGTGGTCCTACCAACCTCTCAAACCCACAGTTTTATAGAGAAGACCAATCTGAAGTTGTTAAATCTTTTGCAATTTCATAGCAGAAAATTGCATGTTAAGCCTTCAAAGATAAAAAAAAATAGTGATTAAACTGCTTAAATGTACCTCTGGAGGCATTGAAATGATCTCTTGCAGTGCAGAATGGTGCTTTGGATTCCAGTCTGTTGCTGTAATAACGAATTGTCGTGTCGTTTTCAACGAAATTGGCCCCGATGGAGCAGCTGCTACCGCTGATGAAGATGATCGGCTCTTTCCTAAATGCTTACGCACCACCCGAAGCCCTGTAGGCAAGTTTCCCGATGTGCCTTTCGGTGGAGGACCTAGGATGTATATCCAATTTTTTTGGGTACGTGGATATACATCTTTGTACTTTATCTTCCTATCTTGAATTTTTATCTTCCTACTTATGGTATTATTATTAATTATTCGTTGAGAAAGCCGCTTTGGACACATCTCACACATCCTTGCGAGTAAATTTTGAATATTTGCAAACTTAGATACATGTTCAAGCACTTTATTTTCAAATTGTATTCTGTAGTTTAGCTCAATTCAATCAAGCTCGTATATCCTAACAATACATGCTCAGTAACACTTGAAATTTGAAGAGTTAAATTTTTAAGTAAACTACACATATATCCCTCAAATTATGACCCTTATGTTAATTAGGTCCGTCAACTTTTTTTTTTGGCAATTGAGTCATTTAACTCTCTAATTGTTCTAATTAAGCTTTTATGTCTGCCTCTGTTAGATTTTTTAACAGAAAGTGGCGAAGTGTGCTACTAACGTGACACAAATGGTTGGAGTAAACTATACATATGTAGCCCTCAAATTGTGTAAGTTATTACCAAAATAATGCACTTTTAAAACAAAAATACCATTATAACGCACTTTTAAACTTATTTATTGATTTATGGCCGTTTTTAAAAGTTGAATTGTTGATTCTGTTTTTAAAAATTGTAGTAGATAGATCGGTATATTTGTTTGAAAAGTGTTGTATTTTAGTAAATAAATTCTTAAACTATAACCCTTGTGTCAATTAACTCCCTAAATTTTTATTTTTTTTTCTGTTAATTGAGATTTTTATATTTTTGTGTCATAGTCACATGAGTGACATATTCTAACAGAGGTAGATAAAAGGATTTAATTAACCTACTTAGAAAGTTCAGAAATTTAATTGACACAAAAAAAATTAGGGATTTAATTGACATAATCATAGTTTGAAGACTATATGTGCAGTTTACTCTTGATTTTTTATACCTAATGGTAAGTATAGTATTTATCCGAGCAATATACTCAGATTTGAATACTAAATAATCTGAAAAATTTTATCCGAACTTAGAGCGAACCAAAGTCCAAACCAGTTGGATTCAACATCTCTGCTTTCACTTGAAAAATTCATGCACCCCTCAAAATTAATAAGGCATAGTTAACGACGCAACACAATCTTTTGATCCTCTCCCACATGGATCCTGGATTTTATGGCACTGTTGTAGCCGTCTCTGCCTGTGACAAGCCAATGCCTTCTGCAGTACAATAATGGTGGCTCACTTCTTAATATCCCAAGAGTTTCGGTTCCATACCTCTACTGTAATTTCATTGTTCAAACTATAATACGGCAAAATTAATTGTTTCTCGATACCATATTTCCTATTTTCTACTAATGAGAGTATGACCCATTTAAAGTACAATGTTTTATTATTTCCAAGATCAATAACACAAAATCTAAGCTTAACATCCAGTTTTTGGTAGTCTTACCCCTCGGTTTCTTACCACGTCAGAAAAATGAAAGCTTGTAAGATCTTCGTTCAGTAGATCTACAGTGAATCTACTTGGGAGAAGGTACTGAGGTTCTGTCAAAGAGTCTGAACTAAGCAAAACATCATGGCATATATATATATATAGATTCTGAAAACAGCAAGTCAATCATAACCCTGGAGAAAGAGTTGACGGGTGTCCATAATGCTTTGTTGAATCTTGATAATATGCATGTCCTCTTCTAGCTAGTGCATGCATTTGTCCATTCTTCTTCCAAGTTATATTATATATATATATATATTTTCCTTTCTTGTAGAGGGAATTGACATGTCGGGTTTTCATAACGTGCATGAACCATCACACACTTTTCTCCTGTCTATGGGCATGGGATGGGAAACCATTCTTCTTCTCTTGTGGAGAGGCTTTGGATGGGGGATTTATGTCAGTTGTTACACTAACGGACATAGCTACGGCACATCCAATGGGATTTTCGATATGGTATCGAAAATCTTTGGCAGTTAAGAACTGAAAAAACTCTGCACAATGATGCAGAAATGGACACGTGTAAAGGAAAAGCAAGGCAACTGGAATGACCTATTGTCATTTATATTGTACAATAATGATGGATAAAGGATTTACCACATCAATGAGTGAGTTATAAAGTTTATGAAATATTTATAATATTACTTGCAATATTTACAATAATATTGGATCCAATAACAAAGATAACGGGTATTCTTACAAAGTCGGTGGAGCTAAGTACAAGGGTAATGGTGTATTTACGACATCAGTAAAAAATGCAAAAAATTAATGGGATAGGTACAAAATTAAAGTTCTATTTACAACAAAAGTGAAAAATTTACGAGTCAAAGTCAACGTAATGGATGATCGATCAATGTAGTATATGATCGATCATAAAATATTAATCGATCGAATAAATGTATAATCGATCATTATGTGGAAAGGTGTTGTGTAAGAAAATAAAATTTTAGAAATAAATAAATAAATATATAATTTGACCGATCACGAATATGATGATCGATCATAGTGCCTCAATAAGGTGTTTTTGTAAAATTATTATGATGTTAACGATATTAGTAGGTAAAAGTATAAAATTAATGGTATAATTTCAACAAAAGTGAGAAATTTTGAAATTCAGTGATACCAACTACAAATTTAATGGAGTATTTAGTACATCAGTAAGAAATGTACAATAGTAATTGGGTAATTGGGATAGGTACTAATGGTGCTCGGAATTTAAGGCCCAAGCCCAACTATGATAGGGCGATGTTCTGAACAGGTTTTTTAGACTATGGATTAATTTATCACAAATAGTTAGGCAAAGAATGTAAGTGGTTCACCTTAACCAATAGACTAAGGCTACGTCTACTATCAATGGAGTATCTTGCTCCTCGTTGTTGTGTATTGAGTTTCTATCACAGAGTTTTTATCTGGTTAGGAGAAGTCTCTCTTTTCTCTGGTAAGGCACTGTTCTTTATATACAGGTCCTCTCTATTAGGGTTTCTTGTGGTATCTTCTACCTTTTCGTAGATCCTGTGGGGACCTCCTACCCTTGTCCTGCAAAAGCCTTTCTCCACCGTTGTCCCAATATCCACGATCTCTGGGACCATAAGCTCCACCATCCTCTGTGTTCGGGAATACGCAGCTACCGCATGTTTCAGAGATAGTCCTCTTGTCCCTTGGTCGCGTGGCATGGCAGGGTTGTTTAGGGACGAATGGTCCGTTTCTTTCTTAGGCTATCATTAGGTTGGCACTTGACTGGGCTTGGGCTGAGCCATTGTCTTTCTGATCCCCACTGGATTTTCCTCTACTGGGCTAATCTAGGATATTCTTTTTGGGCTGTGGGATTCTTTGGTCTGTAATCGTGGCGGCCTATGCTCAAAATTCCACTCTCATCAGTTGCCCCCTAGCCCTTGGTCATAAGGATGACATCACCTCAACCTGGGGTTAAAGATATTATTCCTATGTGGAGGGTGTGTCCGGTAGTTGGTCTAGACATGATTTGGGCTGTGCTAGAATCCGTCGTTTATAATGGCTTGGGTACGTGTCGTTTGTGGGAGAGCCAACATGTGCAGGTTCCTTGGCTTGTCCTATCGCCTGTCAGTTGTGGCCTTTGATGCTGTGCATATAAAAAAGGGGGGGGGACTCCTCCCCCTCCCCACTTTACATCCCTCTTTTTCCGAAAAACCCTATTTCTGTTTACGTTCTATTTCCTTCAGTATTCGAGACGTCGTCTTCCTGGCTCTTCGGCAACTTAGGGCTTCTACACTTCCAGTTTTTCTTGCTTCTAGCGTCTTCACTAGGTACGTTTCTCTTCCCTTCTTCTTTTTTCCTATTCAACCTAGATCCCTTTGATCCTCCTTGGTGGGGTTTCGGTTTTCGCTTCCTGGTCTGGAGGTTTAGTTATTTTAGGAGTCGTTCCAACAACTGCACTTTTTTTCCGCGGTTTGTGGACCCTTCCAGCACAGCTAGGATATCCTTTCTTAGGGACTGGTGTTTGAGGCCTTTATTTTTTATGGACTGTGCCTTACATTTGCCCTCTCTGCATTCTAACTTGTTAGTGGAGACTGTGATGGGGAGACTCTTCGTTACTTCTTCTGGGTCAGATTCTGATGGTCAGGCCAGCGAGGAAGTTAGTACCTCGGGTTCCTCCAAGGATCCTTCCCATATCGCCGGTGAGGCGGCCTCTGAGTCTGCCCTTGGGGTTTCCTCCTCATTTCCCCCATTGACGCTTATCCTCTTTCGTCTCTGGCTCCTGCTGCCCCTACTCAATCGAGGGAGGGGAGGCCCAAGTCGGCTCCATCTTCTACTTCTAGGGGGAAATTTAGCCGGGATCAATCCGACCTAACCTGTTGTGCCGATCAGACCTCCAGTTGCCTTAAGGACAACGACTTAGAAGAACTGAGGCGGTATTATCATTTTTCCGACTTCGTGGAGTTGCACTCGCCCAAGAAACATGAGAGGTGCAATTCTTCTCTTCCCGGGCTGACCTGCTTCTTCAAGTCAACGATCCAGGCCGGTCTTCGATTCTCTGTTCATCATTTCATCTGGAATGTCCTCGATTTTTACAACGTTTGTCCCGCCCGACTTTCTCCCAATGGTTGGGGTTTTCTTGTCAGTTTTCTCATCCATTGGTTCAAGAGTGGGAACGACTCTTCCCCCACTATTCGAGAAGTTGCCTCCCTCTTTCAATTGAATTTTTCTCCTTCACTGGGATTTTTTGTACTTTGCTAAGAGGGTGAAGGCGAAATCTCTAATTTCTGGCTTCCTTCTTCTAACAAGGGGTGGAAACCAAAGTTTTTTTTGTTAGGAAAGATTCCTGGGAGTTGTCGGGGGAGTTTGGCGACGTTCCTCATATCCCCCGGGTCTGGGGGGGTCCAAAGGAACACGTGTAAGGCTGATCTTGTCGTATGCTTTCCTTCTTTGCTCTTATTCTGCTATTTGAACTAACCTTCTGGCCTGGTTTGCAGATTTCTACCCAAAGCTTAACGCGGAGAAGGCCGTCCGAGTCGCCAAGGCGGAGGCTTTAGGGTTGCAATCCTTTTTTGACTTGGTGACTAACCAGAATCTTGCGGCTTACGAACCAGGGGCCGCCGTTGATCAGGCTCCGGAGGTTGTATTACCATTACCCTCCCAGTCTGATCTCATGGATCAAGACTTGATCATATTGATGTTCTCTGACACCGAGGAGTCGAGGAAGAGGAGAAAACTGGTGAAGGGGCCATAGCCGTCCTCCAAGGAGACATCTATTTTCGGGTCATTGCCCGTTCCATCGGAGGAGAAAAGCGATGACCCCCTTCTCACGGGGATGTCACTGTGCATAAGTCTTTTACCGGGCTTTCCAAGGGCCGTACTCGCTTGGAAGGGTGTACCACGAATAAGCTCGGGACTTCGGTTACCGATCCTCCCCTCTTCCAGTTCGGCTCCTCAGAAGGGCGGAAAAGGGGAGTCCACCATCTCGACGCCCAAGGTGCAAGGTAGCGGCTTCCATTGTAATCCTGAGGCAGCGATGACTGCTCTGTCTGAGCTAGTTTCTACGTTGGATCCTAGGACAGCTATGCAGGTTCCCTTTGAGAGGAAACTTCATCATACCATCCAAGGCTTGGCTGAGGTATTTTTTATTTTCATTTGTGTTTTTCGCTTTGTCGCTTTTGTATTTTTTGCCTGTTTTATGTGCTGACCTCCTTCTTTTTTTCCCCCACAGTCACTTGCCTGTGTGAAGATGATGACTTTCCACCGCGGGCAGGACCTTCAAGAGGCTAAAGAGGCACTTGACGCCATGACAGCTAGCAAGGACAGCACCGAGGAGAAGGTGAAGGTTTTGGCGAGCGAAGCTATTGAGCTAAAGAGAATTAATGACGAGCTCGACGCCCGTCTCCAGGACCTCATAAAGCTTTTGGACTCCCAAAAGAAGAGCCTGGAAACCGAGCTTGAAGTGAAAGATGTCGAGCTTAAAGCGAAAGATGCCAAACTCTAAGCCAAAGATGCCGAGCTCAAGGCCAATGAGGTCGAATTGACGTCCCTACGAGCTAGAGTGTCCGATCTTCTAAAGGAGAGTGCTTTAGCCTTCGTGAAGGGTTTCTTAAACTGCTTCAACCAAGTCGAGGATGCTTACCCTGACCTAGATCTGGACTTGATTCGGCCTTAGCTAGATTATAGGAATAAATCTTAGGTGCCCAAAGACGCTGAGGTACCTAGTGCCAAGAAGGAGTCCGTTCGTGCGAAGGTTACGCCAGGTGGGGTTAATGTCCCGTCGGAGGTTGCTGGAGGAAGAGTCAGTGGTAAAGAGCCTGCCTCTTGATGCTTGGTTGTGATGGTCTCCTTTTGTTCTTTTGTTGCCTCTTGAGGCCATGTAATCTTTCAGATGATATACTCATGTACCTTACTTTTGAAGACTTTATCATTAGCTTCCTTTCTTCTTTGTTTTGTAAATGGTGTGTGCTCTCTTGTGTTGCTGTTTTGCCTCGACGAATGGGGGGGAATGATCTTGGCTATGCTCCCCATAGGTTTCGTTGTTGCCCTTGAGCTTTTGGTTGTTGGGACCAAATTCTTTCTGGTGGTGATGAAAGGACTTGTGGATATCTGAGCCCTCATGGACAGATGAGCTATCTTTTTTCATCATGAACGAGATGACTTGGATGCTCGGGCCTGAACTCTGCCACGTGTTGGCGCTTCAGTATTCTAGGGTTGTTTGGGTCTTTTTGCCTTCCTTTTCGTGTACTCCAGACATGACGGTTTTGCCCGTTTCAGGACGTGCGCCTTCAGGTATGGTAAGTGGCTCCTCGAACGTGGTACCTTGAAGATTCTCGTTGCGCCATGTGTCCCCCTCATTAAATGTGAGGGACGTGCATTAACTCCATCCGACGAAAGCGGCAGTTGTGATCCTGCAGGAGCTATAGTTATGAACCCCAGGGAATGATTGTCCTATTCTATGTATTAGAAAGATAATCCTCATTTTTTTTCTCCTTAGTGCAGTCCTTCCTATTTCCAATCTCTTCGACTCTTATTTTCATGGCCAGGACCCTTTTTTCACTACGCAACGTAATGCGATGTCTCTTCCCTGATGTTGCAG